AGCCACATTGTACGGGTTTTCCGATCCTCCACTTACCATCCCTTGAGTTGTGAGAGGAGTAGTGTATCAGAGACACTTGGCTAGCGAAGACGATAAGTAGGATACCGCGTTTGATTAATTAAAAAATTGGCGTTAAAAACTTACTTCCTTCTTAACTCCCGTGTCGATAAAAATTGATCCTTGCTCATAATATATCCTAAATATAAATGAAATCAAGTGTCGTATACTAAAAGTGTCGTATATAAAAGAAACGATTATTTCCTTGTTCTAAGCACATCAACACCAAAGCCAGTATAATTTAAACATGGAGACATTATGGCTTATCTGGTCTGTACTTTCATTGTTTTTTCTTCAGTTTGTGTCTCTTGGACAAGGTGAGTAGCAGCTTTGCTTTAATTTTGACTTATTGATGGATTGAGAACAACCCAGTAAAAGCAATAATATATATTACAAAATACGTTAATGTACAAGAAATCTGCATTATTTTCCCCTCAAATGCGGCTTACATTTGAGTGTACATGCAACTGTGTGGATAATCAATAACTATCTGAAAGTCACTGCATACAAAAATACTATTTAGGTAAATGTTTAAAAATTAGGTTTGACGTGTCTCGAAAAGTTTTTTTTTATCCAACGACGGCATATACAAAATGATTTAAAAGTTTAAAATTCTCCGAACAATAAATCACATCCTCTTACGAAATAGGTTTATAGAGTAGAATTTCAGACATTTTTTTTTTCTTGTCAAGTTTTTTTTAAAGGTAGATTGAATGTTTTCTCTGCCCCCCCCCCCCCCCCCCCCCCGCCAACCCCGTCTTTCAAAAACGTTGCTACGTCCGATGCATATGAAACACTTAACCGTATTTTTTGCAAAGTTATATAGGCCTACTAAATTTTCCGCATTATTCCGAATAGAATAATTCGAAAATCAAAGTCATATGTAAATACATTATTTTTTCAATATACTTTTAAAAAAAGAAATATTGTCAACATTCATAGCTAGGAAACAATTAAGATTGAGAGTTTAAATTCTAAAAAAGTAATTGTAACAAAAGGGATGGTTGTATATGGAGCGCCGTTTTGATATTTGAAAGGTATTTTCTGATATCAAAAATCATTTTGTGATATAAGAAATTAGATTCTTTGATATCAAAAAATCATTTTCTGATAATCAGAAAAAAATATTTTTTTTTCATATAAGAAAATAAACAAGATTTTTTGATGTCATAAAGTTGAATTTCTGATGTCAGAAAATCATTCTTGATATCAAGAATTGAAATTTTTTATATCAAAAAACAATTTCTGATATCAAAAAATCTTCGGGATTTTATGATATCAAAAAAGTATTTTTTGATATCAAAAATTCGAATTCTTGATATAAAAAAATATGTGTCATTTTCTGATATCAAAAATTCGAATTTTTGATATCAAGAAATCATTTTCTGATATCAAAATTCGATTTTCTGATACCAGAAAATTATTTTTTGATATCAGATATTCAAATTGATTTCTTGATATCACAAAATATATTTTTTGATAATAGAAAATAAAATAAAATGGCGAAGAATCTTCATATAAATAATGAATACTCCCTTGAACTGTAGGAAATCCCGAACTTCTGTGCCAAATTTGCTTTCTACTAAAATTTGTTGATTTCAGATTTTAAGAATATATATTAAGGTACCGTCGTTCTTTTGCACTGTTGACTATATTTTTAATCATTTATTGTGCACACATAACTTTAGCTCAAACTTTATGGATAACTCAGACTTCACCCTGAAGAATGAACTTCACACAACGGGTACTTGCTGGTCAGCTGTTATGTAACATCACTTTACACAAATATGCAATTGGAGAAGCTAATGACTGCTGTTGATACGGCTTACAGGAAAAAGTGTCAGTCTGAGTCCGACTTACAGCACACCTTGATTATTTACTCTTATTTAAACGTTTCTTTAAAACAGTTCACACTGTTTTAAAGAAACGTTTAACAGTAAAAGAGCTTAGTACTCGAAGGTCACCCTATGTTTTGAAAAATGAGTAAAAACGACAGCGTGTTAGATAAGTCCTATCTAAACACTTATTTTAAAATATCAGTAATTGTAGATATTTGTTTGAAATTCAAACAGATAATGAAGCTTGAATATATTCCTTAAAACCCTCAAAACAAAATATACAATAAGATGTACAAAAACAGCAAAGATCCGAGAAGAGCAAAGAATTGCAAGAGCACAAAGACAGATTTATATGCAATTTTCGGAAATATTAGTGGTCTTGTTGTTCAAATTCGCATTCGGGAAGGCAGTTTAATTTCTGGAGGAGTCTAAAAAGCAATTATTTTGCAAAAAAAATTGAAAGGTTATTGAAAGGAAGAAACCAGAACCAGAAATCCACTACATTAAATTTCTTCATGACAGCGTCCAAACCCGCACGCCCTAAGAGTAAGGGAGTTTTTTTTGGATAAACAGAAAGGTATTTCCAAAATAATTATAAGCAATCAAGATTATTAGACTATTAGTATATATCAGCCGCTGTAAAAACGCAAAATTGTTTTAACCCACTTGTTGAAATCCAGCGAAAGCATGGGGAAAATACTTGTTCCATTACTTACAGATTCGTTCCAAAAAGTATCTTACAGTTTTAAATGACAGTTGGCTTTTGATATGAAGAAATACTTTAAAAACCAGCAATTAGTTTAGGAACAGAAGTAGATATATATACACATCCTTATTTGTTTACTTTAATGAGTATCACTTTAATTAGAGTTTTCTTCTAACATAATATAAAACAACTTTATTTGATATCTGTTTTACATACTGTACTATATGGGTACTCATTAATTGACATTTTCTCTTTACTTGTGTATAGAAAATTTATATTTTGATATCTGCTGTACTATAATATTACTTTTCACCCTACGGGTGTTCTGTTTACATTGATATCAAGGATAAAAGAAGCAAATGTGAAACTGTATATTGTACATGTATTTGTCAGCATTTTTTAAAAGTAAAAATGAACAACTTTTCACCTCGTATGTGCAAAATTTCGATTTGTTATTCAATAAAAAAAAGTCAAGATATTATATGAAATATTGACTATCAATAGATTTATAATTTTGGGTTGATATATGTCTCCAATACCAAATGCATGTCGATTTTGAAATCTTTATCAGAAAAATAACCTGATTTTTGTGTTTGATCATTAATAATGTATTAACAATATTGACACACCATACGTATCATGAGTATACTCATCATGTTTTAGGTACTAATTATTCATATTTGTTTGTAAATGAAGAAACACATTGATTAAAATCATATCTATTCAATATATCAATTAAAGAATCTCGAGCCCCGACTCATGACACTGATGTTGGAATAGACTTGTCTAGCAACAACTCCGAAACAACTTCCACCGAAAAAGAATGTAAGTATTCTGTACACCTTAAGAATACAGTTAATTTATGAATTGTTTCAAAGAGAATCGAAATTGGAATGAAAAATTTGGCATTAAATGAAATGAAATATGTGAAGATAACGAACAGTAATCAAGCTCAAAAGTCCATAAAACAATATAAAACAGGAGCAGAGCAAACACGGACCTCCAAAACATCAGAGATAGGATCAGGTGACGTCAAGGAGTGAGCATCCCCTGCCGACCGGTCACGCCATCCTTGTGCTCCTTGTTGTGATCGGGAAATAACGGGAAAAAAGTCTGTGGATAACTCAGTGTGTACAATGTAAATAATGGCCTAACAAAGACAGTATGAAAAAAGTCAGCATTTGACTAAATGATAAATTGTATTTGTCACTGTATCAATCATTGAACTTACAAAATGATTAATTTTATCGATTCTGCTGATATTCTTGCTTCTTCAGCCTGTTTTTCAATAACTAATCTTGTTCCAGAATTTGTTTATACGTAGAACATGCTCTTCCGTGTCGAATCAACTGAGAGATATAAACTCCTTTTGCAAGTCACGGAAGTATATTCTGCTGACGATTGAAAAGTTAAAGTCATAACGTTTTAAATAAAACTCTATTATGTGTATAAGATGGATATACTTTTTTTCTTATCAATTTTGCATTTAAGCATCATATAATTAATCCAATTTATTTGAAAAGTCTGTTGTGCGTCCATTTGCAATATTTAATATTAAGTCCCATATGTCCATAATTATATCCTTTTTGCCAGAACTTTGATTTTTTAGAGGTTTTTATTCGTTTCAAGTAATTTGTTTATTATTACTCAGATGGACCAACAAATGTGAACATTTATTCAACTGACCTTGAGGATGTGTGGGAAGGAGGAGGATACGTCACCCTCACATGTAGAGCAGACTGTAATCCACCTTGTGATAGATATCAAATATATCACAATGGACGAGTCATCTCCAACACAAACGTGACATCCATCACAAAAGATCGAACAAACTCCGGAAAATACAGTTGTGGGGCAAATGATGATAAGTTGGGGGAATACGTTAGATCTGCTGAAGTGGATATTGATATCAAATGTAAGTAATGTTGAAGTAAATATTGATATCGAATGTAAGCAATGATGACGTGAATATTGATATCAAATGTAGGTAATGTGCGTTGAGTAGATATTGATATCAAATGTAAGAAGTAAATATTGGTATCAAATGTTTATATTGTTAAATCCTCGACCTTGGCTTTCTTCTTTTTTCCTGATTATTTCTCCTTGGAAAATAAATTAATCGATATTTTTTTTTAAAATCGTGAATTCAAATAACCTTTTTTCTATCAACATCCTTAACTTACCTGATATCTAACTATGTGTTTATTGAGTCATATATATAATCCTAAATAGAATACGTTATTACTTCCGGTAATCACAAGTCTATTGTTTAATTTTTTAAGCTAAATTTAGAAAATTTTTCAATTGATAATTTTATTTCTTCTTAAAGAAAACTTTTTTTATCATGATAACTTAGATGGACCCAGCAATGTTGTAATGGATTCCTCAAGTGACCTTACGGATTTGTGGGAAGAAAGAGGATACGTCACCCTCAGATGTAGAGCAGAATGTAATCCACCATGTGATAGATATCAAATTTACCATGATGAACGAGTCATCTCCTACACAAAAGTGATATCCATTGAAAAAGATCGAACAAAGTCTGGAAAATACAGATGTGGAGCATATGATGAAAAGTGGAGGATATATGTCAGATCTGCTGAAGTAGATATTGATATCAAATGTAAGTAGTGTTGAAGATGTTATTGATTTCAAATATAAGTAATGTTCAAGTAGATATTGACAGAAAATGAAAATAAATGTCTTAGCAATTATTGATATCAAATGTAAGACATTTTAAAGTAGATACTGATGTCAAATGTTAATAATATTGAAGTAGATATTGATATCAAATGTAAGTAATGTTGAAGTGAATGTTGATATCAAAGGTAAGCAATGTTGAAGTAAACATTGATATCAAATGTAGGTAATGTACTTTGAGTAGATATTGATATCAAATGTAAGAAGTAAATTGAAGTAAATATTGATATCAAATGTTTATATTGTTAAATCCTCTACCTTGGCTTTCTTCTTTTTTCCTGATTATTTCTCCTCGGAAAATAAAATAATCGGTATATTTTTTTAAATCTTGAATTCAAATAACCTATTTTTCTATCAACATTCTTAACTAACCTGATATCTAACTTTGTGTTTACTAAGTCATCTATATAATCCTAAATAAAATGAAATAAAAAAAAAACTACCGGTAATCACAAGTCTATTGTTAATTATTTTAAGCTAAAGGATGAGATGACTTGCGGCCTCCGGTAAATTGACAACAAAATAAATGAATTTTACTCACATTTTTGTATGTAAGTAATCACTGATATATCTACCTATATGAAATACCATTTTAAACAAAAATAGAAACGTGATTTGAAAGATGAAGATCTTTTATTTGGGTAGGGGTATCATGTTTACATCCAATACCTATTGAATTTTGACCCCGCCCCACTCTTTGAAGCCCTTAAAATATACGAGCGCAGATAGGTACAACTTTCTCCTTTGGCTGGTCACTGTATTTCTACCTATATGTGGAAGGAGAAAATTGTACCTAACTGCGCTCACATGCTATTTTTAAAAAAAAATAAAATAAAATCTAGCTGGCCTTTTCCATTATGAACAGATCGACGGAACAAGATTTTCTGACGTAAGAATAAATTCATATGCTAATCGAGGCACTGGCGATACTTTCTAACTGACCAATCAGCTAAATGAAGTTCGTTACAAGTTAGTCCCACAAAAATACTATGGAAACATACTTGGAATTTTACTGCTTTCCGATAATGTTTTAATGAATTTGAGTCACAGATTAAAGAACGGATCTACATGTAAAATCCACCTGTGACGTCATTCTTTTGTTTGAGCGCTCCATTACTTTTTAGAACATAACCTACTTATTCAGCCAATCAAATGCTTCCACTTCTCTCGAAGAATTGATTCTTCATGGTAAAGATTTCTTCTATTTCTGAAAGATTCAACGGCGTCTGATTGGTTCACTTGACAGTTATATGGGTGTGTCTTCATTGGTCTTTGTTCAGCACACAAAAAGAAACGATTCAAAACCCACGTGCTGTTTACAATCATGATATTTAAACTTTCTAGGCCTTGCTACATTTTCCCCACTGTAATCTTTTGCCACCTTTTTGAATATTATTTATTTCACATTTCGGTACATACAGAAAATACAACCATCGTCATGTATATCAGAGACGAACGTTGTCTTTGAAGACAGATTTAATCACAATTTTCATCAAATTTTTATTTGATATTAGACAGACATACCCACTCCTGCTGACTAGGGCCTTGTTATCTTAACACAATTGTTTTTCAAAAATGTAGATATTACGATTCTTGTTAGATGGGTATTCATAGGCGTTGGAACCGGGGGGGGGGGGGGAAGGGGGGGCTTAGCCCCCCACTTTTCTTGCAAATATATACATAAAATATAGACATTGAAAATTAGGGTTTACTTTTTTTGTTGGTTTAGCCCCACCCCCCTTTCAATTTGTTTCCGACGCCTATGGTATTCATTAGTTCAGTAACTTTAATATCTTTACCATACCATTTCCCAAGTAAATCAAGGTATTTCATATAATCCCGTGCTAACCTGAATGGGTTGGGAGTCCATTCTGAAACCGCGTGTGTTCGATATTGATTGCGTGCTCGATTTGTACAACGAGCGGTCAAGTTGAGCCTTATATATGACACAGCCGTGGGAGGAGTTTATTTTTAATCCATGCACTTGATTGGCTGAGGTTCTGTTCTAAGTCAGTAAGATCATATGAAGAGAAATCTTCGTCACAAAGAATGGGCTCCGCTTCGCTCCACCCATTCTTCATGACGAAGATTTCTCTTCATATGATCTTACTATTACAAAGAACTTAGAAAATTTTAGAGAAGAGTTTTGGAAAATTGTAAAGGTTAGTTTCACATTAAGAAAATTAAATCACCCATGAGGAGAATCGAACCCGGTACCCTCACTATAGCAGTCCGATACTCATTTCACTGAGCTAACGAAGCTGTTGAGAGACGTGTGTTTAGATTAACTTCAGTACACTTTTTTTCAGTTTTTCTTTCTATATTATATATAAATACTACTAATATGTAAAAAGTATTTACAATATGTCAAATAAATATTCTTTATTATGTATTAACAAACAATAAAAACAAGCATTCAGAAAGGCGGATTTTACGCGGGTTAATATACTCGTAGCGCTCCATTCCTTAAAACTTAAAAGTAATGGGCCTCGGCCCCTTCGGGGCCTCGGCTCCATTACTTTTAAGGAATGGAGCGCTACTCGTACATTAACCCTTACGTACATATATACAATTTCCAAGATCACAATAAAATTTATATACAGTTACGAACGATTAATAAATATACATTACACCCCTACTAATGTTATCGTGATTTTAATTCAAGACACGTGGTTTAGGTTGATCTATTCAAAGGTTATAGGGTAGAACCGGTTTTATAAATAAAATTGGCAGTAAGCATGATATTGCTATAGCCTGTTTCTTTTGAAAACATGTCCTGTAATAAATGTTTCCAGGCCTTTCTGAAAGACTTTCATGATTTTCAGCAGAAAAAGGGTGGCTTAAGGAGGGGGTGTTAAAATAACAATATATCATACTTTTCGGCGAAAATTAGAGCTCACTAGTGACCGATTCGCTGACAAAAATGTGCATTATCATCTACATTGACAAACATTTGTTTGCCTTATATGGCTATTGTTATAAATGCGCACAGAGGATCTTACCACGAGCAACTGACCAATCGTTGAATGAATAGCAACGTTTACGCCAAATACATGTTTACATTTTACTTCGAACGCGTAGTTCAGGTCAATCTTCGATCATGTTAATGGACTGCAAAATAAAAAAATGTTCTTACGAACAAAATACAAAGATAAGAAACGTTGAAAGATGTTACGGGTGTTTTTAATTTGTTGTTGAATGGAAAAAATGTTTAATGAAATGTAGTTTGCGTCTATTTCAGAACACCAGCGCTTCAAGGGTAAGGAAAACGAGCAGCATCTCTTATGCATTTAAATGGACAAAACTTTGTTTACGTTCGTGATCACGTGCTCGGCCAGGGAATTCACCTGGCAATTGTATTCACCGATAGTACAAAAAAGGAATTAAGGGGGATGTACGGCCACCTTTAGTGCTGTGAGAACAAAATGTAAACATTTCTTCAAATGGCTTAAATACATCATATTTTGATCAAATTTTAAGTCCTTATGATAAAGATACAATAAATATTCATAACTGAATGCATGTTGTGCATATATAATCTATACTTTTGCAGAAAAATGCTTTTGATATGCTCCTTAGAACTGCGCAGCTACAGAATTCAGCAGAGCCTTTAAAAATCAAAAAAAATATGCAAATTGTGCATCAATGTTCTCTCTACAACCTTTTGTTGAGAAAATGTCTAAATTTTGCACTTTTAAATGATAATTTCAAGTTCAAAACAAGGTATCGTTGTCTTCAAAAAGAGTGTAAAGAACCATGAAAGTAGTTCGTGGATACCAGCACGTGGTCTATTTTTAGTACAGAATTTTGTTTTCCAGACCTCTTCTTAATATGGAGGGACATAACAATCTTTAAATGTAGAAGAGAATTACAGTTGCAAAATATTTCAAATAGTATGAACACTTTTAAAAGAGGAAATGTGTTATAGTATGGCTTGAAGTAATTTATTTAGTATTATTATCGATCGAACCGTTGTTAAATAATGTACTTATTGATATCAAAGAAAAAAATCTTAAACTCTTTAATTCCAGGTAAGGAAAAATGAGCATCATCAAAGTTAAGAATTAAGAGTTTGTAAGTTTGCCACAGATAACTTATAATATATATCAAAATTTTAATTATCACCAATGAAACACAAAGAAATTAAACACATAAAATCGATATGAATGACCTTGATTTAGTACCTACCAGTACGAGGGGTGATCAAAAAGTTCGCGAACTATCTCTATATCTACAAAACCACAATTCAGATTAGAAACAAATTTGGTGCACACATAGCCAAACACAAGTTCTATAAAATAGCATATGCTGAATAAAGTTTTGCTCATAACGACGTCATTATGCAGGTACTTGTGACGAAAAATGGTTGCCTCAGTGGAACTCGTTTAACAAACGACTAAAATATTTATGGTATATCTTAAAATGCCTTTGAAGTAGCATATAAGAATTTGTTCATAGATTATTGATAGATCGTTTTAGTGAAGGAAGGCAGATGGTTAAATATGATACTTGTTATATTGCCCAGTGATATATTAGCAAGTTTGAAAAGGGATGTGTTTTTAATTAAGCAATATGCTATCAAAGACCTACAATTTACACTTTGAAAAATACTTGAATATTTCAACAATAATATAACTATCAAATACCTAAGATATATCGTTTACTTTTTGATCTACCCTCATATACTCTGTCAAATAAACGTTTACAATTTTGATTTTAGCGGAGCAACATTTGAAAAGGAATGAAATCATTCAGAGTGAGTTGGGAGATTTAATGAATAAAAAAACTTTTTCTATTTGCCTTTTTGTCAAAATTACAATTTTACATATTAAAGAAAAAAATCAACATTAATAAATATTTTATACCATCTTTAAAATGACGTTTGGTGGTCCTCCCAACTCAGGGAAAAATTATTGGGTCCGTATTTATAGGTGAGAAAAAAATTCCTAAAATTATAAACATATTCGTTGACGGAAGAAAAAAAAACATGTAATGGAATGTAAAAAAAAAAAAAAAATGAGTCGGGCCATTTCTAGGCAGTAGATCGGGAGAGAGGGCAACCAAATATTTTTATAACAAATTGTTTTATAAGGCTAGTACATGTTCCATCACATACTTAGTAATGCAAAATTTTTTAATCTTTGGCACTATTTTGAAAAACAAACATAGGATTTTTTTTGGGGGGGGGGAGGGGGGGGGGGTAGCCTCTCATTTTTTTTTTTGCGTGATAGACATATATATGAAATGGACTTTTCTTTGCAAAAATTGTGCTTGCTTCTAAATTTCAAAGAAACAACTCAATATATTTTATCAAGCTTCGTATGTTCAATGAGCGAGAGCTTACAATGTTGACAACATAATGAGACATGATGCGTTTTTATGTCCAAACATTACTCCATACAATGTGTGGTTCATTGCAAACAATCTAGCTATTTATGTGAGGTGCCTGAAGGAAATCCTATAACTGCCTATTTTTTCTATCTAACTGCTAAACAAAATAGACACATGTACCAACTTTTCGAATGTAAGACATGTAATTACAATTTGTTTTTCATGCACCGCATACTGTTTAACATTTTCAAATTAAATGCTAATCATCCTCCTTGCAGTGCCCCATTTGAAATTAACTTCTATCGCCACAGAAAAAAGACCCGCCGTAATCACATATGTTTAGGACATGTTTTATCTTTTTTCTTGAGTTTTAAAGAAACCAACAAATCATCAAGACTTTTCCATGAAAAATTAAATATAATCATGGAAATAAACGCATCTACCCACAGCAGATATATGCACATGCCAACCACGTGCTCAGTGGAATGATATTATCGAGGAAACTCGAGCTGTAAACAGAACAGTTTTTCCCGATTTGCTGGAGTGGGGTTAAAATCGCTTTTTTTTCATTAATCAGACGATGCAATGCAACAAATAAAAGTAGTAAGTAATATAACCTAATGATTATTACTTAGTAATTTCTTGTCTTGATGTTATTATGGTCGCATTTATTTTAAAACCAATGCTATTCGAACTCTGTGTGACAGAGGAATGGCGGACGAAACAAACACATGGCCTCAGGGAGACACCCATATGAAAAATCAAATTTTCAAGAATTGTGGAAAATGACAAGAAAAAAGCGAAACAAATGGTTGTAGCCATATTATCAATGAATCAAACTAACACTATATTCAATGCATTTTTCATCTCGTGAATGCTGTAGCTGCGCAGTTCTAATATGATTAATTTCCTCCTAATTAAAACAAAATAAACTTAATTATTAACTGATTTTGGTCTCTAACAGTAGGTAATTAGTGCATTAGCACTTAGAGTAACTTTGGGCTAGTTTAGTAGAGTATTAAGCGCATTCTTGGTATTTCTTATTTTACACCAGACTAGATCCAATATGGCTTGTACATCCCCCTTAATACAGACGAAAACACTTTTGCAATATGACTTTCAGAAACCTAGACTTCCCCCGTTTATTTAATAAATGAATTGTTTGTCATAACGAGCATGAAAATAATACTTTTAAAAATGCTTTTCATTTACCATAAGATTTTCCTTTTTTTTCCAAGCGTAAAATTCCTGTAGTATTCGTAGTAACCCATAATGCAATACTCATTCAGCTGATTGGTCAGTTAAAATCATGCTGGTGCCTCATTTGCTAATCTGACGCCAAAAAATATAGTCCCGGTTCCCATGCAAAAATATTTGTCCAAAAAGATATTTTAATTCATAACAGCAGAAAATTGTATCACAGAGAATACCTATTTAAGTTTGAATGAATGTAAAAGAGATCGATTGATTGAAGTACATTTCTACAGACATTATCAGCTTATTGTAGGGTGTTGAAAACTGAAACGCACCATAACTTTTCTGTTTACAATACCTCCACGTGCTAGTCACTTCCTAGCCACATTTCCGTGAATAATTTACCCTATCTCGCTGAAGTCTCGCTAACTCTCGCCAGAGCCACTGCTAGAGCTACTCTGAACTCATCGGATTTTATAATTTGCAGAACACCGAAAAATAAAAGGTTCCGAACACATTAGTAGGGGTGCATTAGTTTAAAGATTTGTAGCGTGTTTAGTGAGCAATTCGCTAGGTCTACACGTATTCCCGAGTATCAATGAATACAAGTTTCATGTGCATTTCTTGTCCTAAAAAAACGTAAATGCTGAAAATCTATGCGTATTATTAAGTATAAACAGCCTTGGCTGACCATTATAAACGTTTGAAATGTAGAAAACTATAAAGGTTAATTGACCCAAACCACGTGTCTGTGATAAAATGTAACCGTAGTAAACCAGCATGTTTTGTTGTTCTGTCATCGGATTGGACAATGACTGTGTGCGAAATAATAACAAAAGCCATATAAGGTCTTCTCAGACACGCATATCCCTCTATTGTACTAAGACCCGCCCATTCTCTTGCCATAAAAGAACATATTCTCACAAACCTGTCCGAATTAAGCTGTGATGGGGTCTAAAAAATCAAAGATAATGCGGTATTCCTTATAATTAAAATCTGTCTGAACTATTGAAACTATTCAAAGGCGTCGTATTTATTCACTCATGTTTGAAAACTACAAATATCGTTGTAGATTAGATATAATTCGTCGTGGAAAAAGGGGCCCCAGATAGCAGATATGTCACATCATCCTTTAGAAAATTTTTCAATTGATAATTTTATTTCTTTTTAAAGAAAAATGTTTTTATCATGAAAACTTAGATGGACCCTTTTTATCATGAAAACTTAGATGGACCCGGCAATGTTGTAATGGATTCCTCAAGTGACCTTACGGATTTGTGGGAAGGAACAGGATACGTCACCCTCACATGTAGAGCAGAATGTAATCCACCATGTGATAGATATCAAATTTACCATGATGAACGAGTCATCTCCTACACAAAAGTGATATCCATTGAAAAATATCGAACAAAGTCTGGAAAATACAGTTGTGAGGCATATGATGATAAGTTGAGGAGATACTTCAGATCTGCTGAAGTGGATATTGATATCAAATGTAAGTTATGTTTAAGTAGAAAAATGATACTAATTGTAAGTAAACGTTAAAGTAGATTGATATTAAAAACTACATGTAGTATATAAGAAACGTAAAAGTAGATATGTTCTGATCTACCCTCTACATTGTTCAAACGTCTACCTCTGCTTTTTTCTCTTTTCCTGAATATTTCTCTCCACAAAATAAAATTCCCATTTTTTTTTAAATTGTGAATTTATGAAATTAGCTAGTTTTGCATTTACTATGTCATATTTAATCCTAAATTTAAAATTTATTTTGAACTTCATTTTTTTTTAATTTTGAACTTAATTTGAAATCAAATAAATTTCTTAGTGGTTGATAAAGAAACGAATTCAATAAACTATTTTATAATTCATTGTGTGTTAATTTTGATCGGGTTCAAATTAATTTTGATCGGGATTGGTCCAAATAATAAAAAAAATTATTTTCCATTAAATTTTGCAATTTTATAATTTTTTTTTTAAATTTTGATTTCTGATTCACGAACATGTTCTCCCTGTTTTGACTAGTTTTAAGAAGATTTTAAAAGTTCTTAGACAAAAAAATACATATAATACATACATTACTAGGAATATTAAAGGGTTGTTCAATGTTAAAATTTCTGGTGTTTTTAGAAGAAAAATTAACAATAGTTGTATGTACTTTTCCTTTACAATTTAATTGAGAAAAGGTGTAAGGCATCATTTTGAATAATATTAGTTTCATAAAAATCATTTGAAATTTTTAGATTATACCATAATATACTGTACAAATGAAGCTCAAAACTACATTGCTTGTGTCGTAAAGGTTCTCAGATTTCTCAAAGTTCGATAACTCTTGAATTTAGGTAAAAAAATAATTGTAGACTTTTTCTGGTTAAATTGTATGATTACAGCAATTATTTCATCAATGATTTTCACCTGTTTTTATGTTGGTAGATAGGACAGTTTCCTTATCATCAAATGAGAAAGAAATCACACTAAGGGTAAACCGTTCTTTACCATCAAATGTAGTTTGCATTATTGAGTGCAATTTCCAGAGTGGATCTGACATTACAGTAACAAAGAATTCGGAGCAGTACAAGATAATTAAGTCGGATGGGAGTATATTTAGCGACAGAAAAGCTCTTCCATCAGATAGTGGAGTTTATAGTTGTACATCAGGAGATTCCCACTCTGAAAATGAAATTATATTAAACATTTTATGTAAGTACAGCCAAAATGAATAATCACGCTCCAGTTTACATGTATTTACTTGAATGTTTGTGAAATGATGTTTAAATATATTGAAAGAGCTTTACGGTCAAAATATGGGTGAAAATATTCAATATTGTCCATATTTTGTTCAACATTTAAATATAAAACAATAGCTGAGAACGAACAAAATTAATTATATTTTTTATTATATCACAAAAACTATTTATCATGATAAATAGTTTTTGTGATATAATAAAAAATATAGTTAATTTTGTTCGTTCTCAGCCATTGTTTTATATTTACTGATGAAGCTATAATTTTCCATATAAAGTAATTGATAATATAGCGTGTATTGATTAAATCTCAAGTGAACACTAAAGGGTATAACAAAACAGTTATAGACTGGGTATGAGGGCAACATATGGTTTGTTGGACCTGAAGGTGAAAATGTTGCCCTTAGTCTGCGACCTCGGGCAACATTTTCACCTTCAGGTCCAACAAATTATATGTTGCCCTCATACCCAGTCAATGACTGTATATTAATGAATCTGATTGTAATTAAAACTTTGACTGCCACTCTTAATATTTCCTAAGTTTCATGTACTACCAGTTAATTTAAATGATATGACCAACATATAATTCATTGTTTAATAATTATTTAAAAACCTTTCCAAATTCCTTCTATTACAACTTAGACGGCCCAAAGAACACCACAATTCTAAGCTTTGGGAACAAATTAGTAAAGTCGGAGATTGTTCTTAACGAGAGTCGTTCAGAAAGGCACCAGATAACATGTTCATCCGCATGCAATCCACGCTGTAATACAACATGGTATAAGAATGGCGAACTTCTTAACTACGAGAAACGTCAAAGCATAGATATTAGGGTACACAGAAGTCAGTCTGGGACTTACAGATGTGAGGCTAATGGAATAGAAGGAAAGCAATCCTCTGATGACGTCAAAATTATAGTCCAGTGTAAGTATATTCCTTTCATTAATTTTCTCCTCTCCATCGCATTTAAAATTTTAAAAGATATAACAATGTATATAATTTTAGACAGCCTTTTATCTCAAGGTTTATAACAAAAGTGAATGTCTTACTCTGTGTGTTAAGGTTACCTTAGACATACTTTTGATAAAGCTGTTTTTAAAATTGTTCGTAGTCATACATACGCTTATAATTTTTTTCTGAAACGGCTGAATGAATTCCAACCGAATATTAATGCAGCATATACAGAATGAAAGAGATAAATTAGATTTTTAGCTTCTCGCGCTTGGCCCCTGTGAGATGGGGCCAAACCCCTAAAAATACTAGTAATGTGAACTTAAAATTCTTCTATAGCAGTCTAATGTTGATTATTTAATTTAAGTAGTTTATAATAAGCTCTCAAAATGGATCATGTTATCTTTGCTTGGAGGGTTCAGGTTGCAAGCTTGGGTTAAGTCAGTCACGAATGGTTATGTTATATTATCATAATATAATGTATAATTTTAATTCTTTTTTACTCTCTACGGAAAATTAAAATAAATATGTTCAAAACAATAATTTAGCTCTCTAACTAAATGTAAAACCCACAACCATTTGACACAGTGGATTATTTAGTAATCATATACGAAAATACATTTTAATATTTTTTTTCAAATTGTTTTTATTTCTTTAAATCAAGTTTGTAATATATTTTGTTCTCTTTAAGAATTTTTGTCATTTGGGGAAGGTTTTAGACTATACGGCTATAATTTATTGCCTTTTTATGCCCCCGTAAACGAAGTTTTTTTTATTTTAGAAATAGGTTATATTTCTGAAAGTTTTTGCGTTTTGACTACATACAATTACGTTCTGAAAAGAACGATATTATTGAAAATGCATGATACAAGCATGATACATTTTTATTATGTTTTCCGGGGGGTTTTTGGCGCTTCACATGTATATGATTCGCATTGTTAACAGGATTTATGAGATTAATCCCAGGATTTTCATCACCTTTTACCTTCAAGTTGCGAAATTATGACAGGTGACCGAAGGGAAATAATTTTCTGCATAATTTGGGATAAAAATCATACAATCTTTCAATTAAATATTATAAACTTTTTCGTACAGTTCAATCCGTTTAATTCGTATACCACTCATTCCCCACAGAACAGAATGTTCCCTAAATCAATGTGAATCAATTGTGATGTAGTACCAACCATTTTCTCATTTGTAAGATATTTGTATTTGTAACAGACTATAGCCTGACATTCAGAAAGAGAGAAGGAGAGAGGGGGCATGAACTTAATTTTTTTTAACCCCAACCCCTTAAAGACAACTGAGTTTCATATTAATTTTACTAACATGATCAAGTCTTCTTGATTGATAGGACAGGTCAACAATTAACCTACCCAAACCCCAGCTACCCTAACACCAACTTATTTACGCTTTGCGCATTATGTGTTTGCTTATATCTTGACTTTTGTTTCTTTGCTTTGATTTCAACGTTCTTGGTGTCTTAGAAAGGTTTTTGAGAGATCCATTCAACATTTTACAATATAGAGAGACAGACATACTGCAGGCGTGTAGACTGTAAACTGCAGAAAATCTTATTTGAAATTGAACAATAAACTACAAACATTTATTATATACTTTTATTATCGTTTAAAATTAAATTGTTACAAGTGTATCTTGGAAATCTTCATTATCACATAATCTTTAAGTGTTATATTTGTCACAGTCATGTTGTAAATTTTGAATTTACTGGGTGGGAGTTAATACAAATATAGCTTTCTAATGAAACATGGTGATAATGAACAGTATTCAAGATCAAAAGTCCACAAAACAATACAAAACAGTAGAAAAGCAAACACGGACCTCCAAAACATAAGAGGTGGGATCAGGTGCCATGGAGGAGTGAGCATCTCCTGTCGACCGGTCACACCCGCCGTGTGCTCCTTGTCATGATCGGGAAATAACGGAAAATATGTCGTCAATTCAATTTATAAATAATGAAAAACATCAGTCAGCATTTTGACTCAATAATAAGTTGTTTTTGCTGACAAGGTCATTGTATCGACCATAGAACTTACGAAATGATGAATTTAAACGATACTGCTGATATCCTTGTTTCATCAACTTTTATGTCAATAATTTGCCTCGTTTTAGAAATTGTTCGTACGTAGAGGATGATCTTGCGTATCGAAGCAACTGAGATATATGACCTCCGTATGCAGGTGTTGTAGGTATATTGCTGCGTAAGTAAGTGAAGTTGACAATTGTAAATTAAAGTCATCATGTTTAAAACAGAGCTTGGTTGTAAGATTACCATTAACGTCTTTTTCAACTAAAATGTCCAGATATGTGTCAGACTCTGTGGTACCCTTTATCACAAGCTCACAGGGATATATTTTATCGACATAAGAATGGAAATTACCGTTGTTATTTCACAATACGTCGTCGATATATCTAAATGTCGAGTTGAGAGCAACATCAAGTGTTTTCTTCTTTTCACGTATAAGATTTTGGACAAATTATTTTTCTTCATATGAATGCAAACATAGGTCTTCTAATAACGGGACGCAATTAGTACCCCTGGGAATTCCAATAGATTGTTTGAAGACCTGGTCTCCAAAAACAACATTAGATATTGTCAATCAGAAACTCAAACATCTTTTTAATGTCGACTTCAGAGTACTTTTGTGTGCAATCAGAATGTTTTTTAACAAAATAATTTTGTAAATGACCAATGACAAGATAAGTAAATTTACGAGTTCCATATGATTAATAGAGAAAACACTAGAAAATAAAAACATAGAGTGAGTAGATGCAAAATAAATTAAAATGGTAACAGCTTTTCATTTTCATTCATTGTCTGGTATAAATTTTCATGTTTCTGATTGTGTCTTAGCTAGTTATACCTTTACACTGAACAATTTTTCTTGTACCAAAGAATATTACATTTTAAAGATTATTATTAAAACTTCATCAATGATATTTATGTTTTATGCAAATTAATTTTTACGAAGCATAAACAAAACATAAACACAACTAATGATGTTCTCTTATATTGAAGACCCTCCTGGAGCTGTTGAAGTAAAGCCTAGTAACACCACTTTCTATTCGAGACGTAATGGAAAGCCTATTACTGATATTACTTGTGAAGCGGACTGCTTACCACCGTGTGACTACGTATGGTACGAAGAAAAGCGAAGATGGTATTACGGCTACTACGGCAGCCGTGAGTTTACTAGAGGCACTGCGTTATTTGCGTATAGGAATTTCACGAACTACCATTCTCGATTCCAATGTGCTGCTTATAATTCAATCAAAACCAAATTTAGTAAAAGGATAGTTGTGGAAGTAAAGGGTAAGTTTATCTACCCATCTAATCATCATCCATTCTATCCATGTGTTTAATTAATTACATGTACATATAAATTGATTTCATATGAAGACTGTGTCCACTCAACTCTGTCATACGTGCGTCCAAGTTAGCTTTCAAATCAAAGTGATCGTATTGAAACAAAAAAAAAAAAAAAAAAAAAAAAAAAAAAAAAAATAAACAAACAAACACAGTTTTAAAAAAAATCTCTTATCTGTTGTGTAAATAAAATACTAGTACCAATTTTCTTTTAGATATTGCCCCTCAAAGGCACTGTATTTTTTTTTAAACATGGGAAATACAAGATTTAAATCACGTGAGCATACATCTATTAAGAAATTATAATATTCCTTACATAAGTTTTATCTTCCTTTAGAAGCCTTTATGTTCTTCACACTGAAAAATTTCGAATTTTTTTTTTGTTGCAGCTAAGAAATATGCCATATTAATATTAAGTCTTACGAGGGCCTACAGCCCTCTATTAGTTCTTTCTCTCACATAATGGACAGTTTTCGGCCTTTCTCCTACTTAAAACATGATTCTCTTTGTTCTGAGAATTAAAAAAAAATGTGCAAAACAGGTAGCACACATACAATAAATTCATTGTTTACAGAATGGACAATTATAGGTGAGTTTTGGGTGCACAATAATTTGTTGAATAGCCGTTTCCAGATGCGAATGATAAAAGGTCTTTGTCTAAGGAATGGATAGTTACAGGTTGATTTCGTGGGATGCTTGTATTTATATAAGAATGCAACTTCTCAAAATCAGTTTATCTTTTGCGTTGTAAAGGCAAACATGTTTCCCTCCGATGGAGAGCCGGAATATTTGACAGAATCGAAATCGAATTGAAACCAAAAGATGCACAAAACCAGTGATATTTTGACCTGGAAACAGAAAAATAAGCGTAAAAGAAAATATTATCCAAACGTTGATCCTCTCAAAACTTCGACGACAAATACAGATATTTCGAATTCAAACCAGAATTTTCTTTTTATTTGAAATCAATTTTTGAGGATTTATTAATTGCAACAGTGTAATGGTGAAATGCATATCGTGTTCAGAGTTTTGGATAGTCATGAGGCAAACTTCGACCTGAAAATGCATTTCAAATCAAGTTTTGAAATGTTTCAATTTTAATTATTTTCTACCGAAACATTCACTGCAGTAGTGAAGTTTTCATGGTGCAAACTGTTTTCTGGGTGATGGATTTAATATTAGCCTAGTTCAAGCTTAAAATGTCCACTCTGTGAGAAAAAGAACTAATCTGGGGCCTACGGCCCTCGATTAGTTCTTTCTCTCACAGAGTGGACAGTTTTCGGCTTTTCTACTTTACGCTAGGGTAGTATTTTCATATAAGGTATGTCACTCGTAAAATTTGTTAAATCAAGGATTTTTTGAGAAGTATATTTTGGATACCGGTAAGTTCTCATATATAGTAACTCAAAATCCCAGATAATATAGGGGGACAGTGTTCATCTTACTGATCTACTGTACAATGAAGTTGACCTTTTTGCACTGAAAATTTTAATTACTTGAACCTTTATCATATTTTATCAGATGTAACCATGGCAATAATGATATGATTTTATTTTACTTAAAATATTTTGAATAATATTTATCATTGAACTGCGCGTTGATTATTATGTGACCTTTTTGCACTAAAAACCAAAAAAAATTGGGGTATTAAAAAACTAAATAGGCAATAAAACATTTTCTTAAATCAAGCTTTTACGACTTAAGTGCCGATCAGTAACAAGTTTCAAGTACTTTAAAATAATGAAAGAAAAAGTTGGGGTCAGTGATGTTAAATTTGAAGTATTGGTCAAAATATGTGATTTTCAGGCGAAAAATGGTGTTAATTTTATCTTGACTTATTTAACATATCTTCATTTTTTTGGCAAAATTTGTTGAAGGAAAGTGTAATACGTGTTCTAAAAATATAAATTAAGACGTATATTAAATATTCCTAGCAATATCATAATGGAAAATATTCTCCGAGTAAAAGTATGTGAGGCTAAAGTTCCAAGATGTAAATCTAAATAATGTGCAGATTTGCAGAATTATCTGCTAAATATCCTTCCACTACTAGAAATAGTCCCAATTATCTGCTAAATATCCTTCCACCACAAGAAATAGTCCTTCATAAATCTTGCTTCTTTGTAGCTTTTGAGCAGTTTTTTTCGTTTAATGTTAAAACATTAACATTGTTGAAATTAAGTATGTTATAAAATTTGAATTTTAATAAAAAGTTTTGAAGTAAAAGGTTCTGCGTGAACTTTTCTAAAAAGCTGACGAGTGACATACCTTAAACACAAATGCATTTTATACATTAATAAACAGGTGGGCCTGTTGACGTTAAAATCAATGCAATGGAATTTCCAATAGAAAATCATCCGTTTGAACTGCAGTGCTCGGCAGATTGTTATCTTGGATGTTTATCTTATACATGGTTTTACAAGGAGATTCAAATTCACAATGGACAAAATCTAAACTTCAAAAACATATCAAGGAATCATAATGGAGAATACACTTGCACAGTTAATGACTACTTTGGAACAGCTTCTGATAAGTATTCTGTAAACGTTCAGTGTAAGTACATATTTCTACACATTTCATCAATACATATTTTTATTTTATATTGCATTGAAGTGTTTATTTATATAAACCTCTTTAAAAACGTAATTGTTCGTGAAATTTTGGAGAATACTTGACGTAACAAATTTATTTTCAATATTCATACATTGAGTCATGTTGTATTTTTTTCTATTTTCAATTTCATTGAAGTTGGCCCATCCACTGTAAGAATCCAATATACCACTAGTGACGGGAATTTACAAGAAAATCGTCATGGTTCGGTGTATATAACTTGTTATGCAGACTGTTATCCATCATGTTCTTTCAAGTTTTACCAAAATGGTAGGGAAATACCGGTAGTTGTTTACTATCAGAGACAAAATTATATATATATACAAAGGCAGAAAAATGAAAAAAATTCAGGACAGTATAGTTGCTCCGCAGAAAATCCGGGTATTGGACGCATGAATTCCAGTAACTTTGCAGTTATACTGATACTTTGTAAGTAATAATACGTACAATACTTCAATAATTAAATGTTTCATGTTAATATGATATACTATATACTAATAATTTCACGATTTTTAAAAAAAATCATTTGACCATTCTGATTAGTTCATTTCATATTTAAGCAAAATATACACATTCAATCGTGAATTTGCTTATTAATGACGAATATATAGCAAGGAAACATAGAAACATAGAATTCCTTGAGATAAGAACTAAATTTTTTAAACATATTTTATTCGAAATCATTATGCCCTTATCCTTCCGATGTAATTTTGAAAACCAGTAAAAATAATCCTTATGCGTTAGCTTCATGTCTTTCTCTCTTGTTGTCAAGAAAAAATTATATTATTTTATTTTTTTTACTATTTAAAACTATACCTTGTCGGAAGTTTTGAATTAGCGCAAGATATGATTCCTGCTTATAAGTGCAATGAAATCTAAATTATACAATTGTATTTACGTATCATTTGCATTTATCTTATAGATAAACCAAGACTCTCTGTGTCTGGAATAATTCCAGATATTATTGCCCCTGGATCTGTAAAACTTAACTTTAGCATAAAGAGTTTTCCTCCATCAAATGTGACAATTGTTCACAAAGGAAAAATACTGAAATACCACACCAATGTGACGGGTTCGAAATCTTACCAAATAAACATCACAACCTGTCTAGATGAAGGGGACTACATACTAGACGCTAAAAATGACGTTGGTTCTGTTAAGTACCGGAATAGAGTTACAGTTAAGTGTAAGTATCTTTCACGTGGCGCAGCGGTTAGTGCATCTGCTCTAAAGTCGCGAAGTAAGGAGTTGGTCATTACATCAGGTTCGAATCCCACTGTGGGACTGGTCCTTCGAATAAGACCGTATAAACCGAGGTTTAAGTTAGTGCCATCACGAAAAAGCTCCCTCATTGCTCAATGGCCGAGCGCTGAGTATTTAACAAAATATGCAGCTATTTCCTCTATGACAGAGACCTGATTTATATTATATTTTTGACAATTTATAACATTCACTTATTAGAGAAAACCACACATATTTAAATTTCTTAAAGTTTAATGGCGAATAATGGCCATGGCAGCACTACAATTTTCAGGAAATTACATTTAGTTACTGGTTACAATCGTAACCAAGGTTTACCGACCCAAATACATTGGGCGATTTTGGCAACCCAAATGGCAAATACATGTAAATGAAAATCATCATGAAATGGGCAAATACGTTGGGCGATTTTGACAACCCAAATGGCAAATGGCAAATGACAAATACATGTAAATGAAAATCATCATGAAATAGGCAAATATAGAAATGAATATGAAATAAGCAAATACACAAATAAAGCTGTTAAGCAACCTACTGGCAAATAATACATTGCAAATGTTTCATCCAGTCTGACACAAATAAGCAAATTGAAATTTCACACATATTGAAAATAATTATGTACATTTGTAGCGAGCTCTGGGAACAGATGCTCACTAAATATAACCCTATTTAAGTTCAGCTAAAGATTGCATAGTCTTATTCCATCGGTTATACATAAAAATCGGGAATCGTACGAAAAACAGTCACATGTTAGAGAATAGTGAGCCCTGGGGCAAGATAATCACTACACAAATAAATCACTACTCAAGTCCACCGACAGATTGTGGAGCGCATCTAGAGAATTGTAACTCCATTGGTGCGGGTACAGTAACGGTTACATCAACAGCCATCGGAGGTTACAGCCATGACGAAGTTAGGTGTTGAACTAAGAGATGTACAAGGTATATATATAAATCACTATTCAAGTCCAACAACAGATTGTGGAACGCATCTAGAGAGTTGTAACTTCATTGGTGCGGGTGCAATAAAGGTTACATCAACAGCCATCGGAGGTTACAGCCATGCAGTGCGCCTGGACGAAGTTAGGTGTTGAATTAAGAGATGTACAAGGCTGAAAATAGAAAAATTCAAGCAGCAGAAAATTGACACCAAACAGACAATTTATTTTATATATTCATACATTACACACAGGGTGTTGGTGGGTGGGAATTTTTTAACACAATATAAAATAAATAAATTTTTATCTTAAAATGCAGGATATGTCTGCTCCCCTTCATTCTCTAACGGAAAAGGAAGTCCCAAGGATTTGACTAAAATACCAAAAGTTAAAAGAACGGGGAAATGCTAATGACCCGATAACCCAGAATATGGGCCTCTCTAATAACGCGATTTAATTTTCAGCAATTAAATCGAATTATTTCCGTTTGGTGGTTTCCCGTTTTTATCATACCATAAACTATATTTCTGTTGAAAATAAAACTGATTTTTATTAAAACAAAATTAGAACAGAATAAAGTTAAATTTCAATCGTTGTTCAAGACTAAATTGGTCAAACTCAGCTTATATCATTAAAATGCTACTCACTTAGGTGATATTTCGTGCTGTGCATAATAGATTTATGCTTTTTACTGCATAAATTTTTTTCCGAATTGTGGTGGATAGTCTGTGTTGTATAATTAGTGTGCTGGAAGCACTTGAATTTGGTTGGTCACGAGATTTTGGCTGTCTTGAACAGCAGAAGGGGCAAGCATTGACAGCAGATTCTAAACGGAATATGGCAATCGGAAACAATTTATACAATTTTTACTGATATATAAATTACTGTCTCTTAATAAGAATGAAATTTCGGTAAACAATTCTTTTGCCGTAAACATCGATCGTATGTTAATATTAATGATAAACAAGATGACGTTCCTATCCCAAACCAACCTTATTTATGTAGATTATACATTTGTACATTATTATCTACAAATGGGTTTATGTGCCCTAGTTGTTTCAATACATGTTAGCAAGTTCTATGTACTACCTATTCAATGAAACATATGGAGATATCGAACAGCATTCCAGATCAAAAGTCCATAAAACAATACAAAATAGAAGCAGAGCAAACACGGGCCTCCAAAACATCAGAGGTGGGATCAGGTGCCATGGAGGAGTGAACTTTCCCTGCCAACCGGTCACACCCGCCTTGTGCTCCTTGTCATTATCGGGAAATAATAGAAAAATCCGTCGTCAATTCAGTGTATAAATAATGGACTAACAATTAGTACGAAAAAACGTCAGTCAGCATTTGACTCAGTGATAAATTGTATTTGCTGACAAGGTCATTGTATCAACCATAGAACTTACGAAATGATGACTTTAAATTCTTTGCTGAAATTCTTGCTTCATCAACTTGTTTGTCAGTATTTTACTTCGTTGCAGAAATTGTTCATACGTACATGTAGATCATGCTCTTGCGTATCTAACCAACTGAGATATGTAAACTCTGTATGCAGGTGATGAAGGTATATTGCTGCATATGTAAGGAAAGTTGACGATAGAAAAGTTAAAGTCATCACGTTTATCATAGAGCTTGGTTGTTAGATTACCATTAAGGACTTTTTCTAGTAGAATATCTAAATATGACAGAGAAGTGTCAGACTCTGTGGTATCTTTCATCTCAAGCTCACCAGGATACATCGTATCCACATAAGAATGGAAATTACCATTGTTAATTGACAGTATGTCGTCGATATATCTTAAATTGAGTTGAAGGCCATAACAAGTGTTTTCCTCTTTTCACGCATAGGATTATGCACAAATTCTGCTTCAAGTGAATACAAAAATCGGTCTGCTTATAACGGGCGTAATTGTACCCATGGGAATTCCAGTAGATTAGTACAATTCATGGTTCATTTGCAACAGGAGCTTTTTCATCCCCCCAACACAAAATCATATGTACAAGGCTAGTGAAATGGAAATGCTCATTTCTGTACATATTGTATATTTTCAGGCTCTCCTATGATCCTCGAATATTCCAATATCTCAAACAAAGGATATTACATTGGTGATCCGTTGAACTTGACGACAACATTTATTGCAAATCCAGATCCAGGTGTTTCATGGAGCTTTACGTCCTATAAATCAAGAAACGTGTCACAGAAAGTTGAGGAAAACCTGATATACAACAAAGTCAAAGAGAAGATGACAAGTATTATTGTCGATAAACTACAAGTAGACAATTTCGGAATCTATCAACTCATATTAGTAAATGATATTGGAAATGAAACAATGTCATTCAGCATCAAAGGTAGCTTAACTTGTTCAATTAGTTCAAGTACTTGTCATCAATTATTATTTAAAAACTGCAAATAAAATCACAAAATTATTACTGACTACGAAGGTGGTTAAATTTCATTGATCTTATTTGTTATCCACACCCAGAAACTGAGTGTATTTCTTTTTGCTCCCAATGCATACATTGTATATGAAAATTGGCAATAGTATCCTCAATGTAATTTTAACATAGTTACTAGATTGATGATTCAACGTCTTTAGCATTTTGCGCAGTTATAACATACATCATCTTTTCATAGTCTTAGAGAACCGTTTAAAACTTTTCATTATAGTGTAGTGGCCATATTTACTTTAACATTAAATTTCTTTGCGAAAACAGTAGGAAACGATTTTGAGTTCTTAAAAAGGAACTTCTAAACTAAAAAAATTCAATTAAGTACATGATGTTACATTTATTATGATAAATCGTAGGTTAATAACTGTTTGAACTATCATAATTATGCTTATGTTTGTATTGAAGTATATTAAAAATTGTTTTTGTTCATAAATACGTCTTTTTCTTCGAATAAACAGGTCCACCACAACCACCAACTGAACTGACCTTGGACTGTCTTAGTGCAGCTTTTTTGGAATGGAAACCTGGATTTGACGGGGGAACAGATCAAAGTTTTCTTATCGAATACACAACCAATATAACCTCCCTATGGTTCCCTCAATCAGAACTCTCTATAACTTCTAAGGATAACGACCGAATGTCTACTTATGTAACTTTAATGAACCCAAAGGACCGCTATTTTTTCCGTGTTATTTCAGAAAACATTTTTGGAAGAGTCATTTCGGATAAGATTGTCAATTGCACTCTTCAAGGTAGGCATAAATTTTTACATGCACATGATACATTTATTGAAAAAACAAAATTTTCCATTCAATGATTCTGCACATAAACATTGACCCTTTAGACTCTAAAATTGATAACAAAAACCGAAAACTAGTATATCTGAAGTTAATATGATTCGAAATCATTTTCTTACAAACATATTATTTATAAAATCCATTAAACTTCAGCTGTTGGAGAAGAAGAAAGTTTCCTAAGCCTTGACACCATTGCTGGAATCAGTGGGGGATTGGTTCTGATTTTGGTGGCTGTCATAGTCCTTGTGCTTTTTGGAGTAAAGAAATATCAAAATCACCACAGGAAAGGTACGTAATTTGTTTTGAAAGTTATATTAACATTAAAGTTCCAGTGAAAAGAATAGATATATATTATGTTTAATTGTGAAGGAAACTGCACGGGCTTCTTCTTATTAGAAAAAATGAATTAACCTAAGAATATACAAATGTACACGTAGATGCTATGCTAATGATTTCAGAGAAACTTTGTATCTTTTAAATAGGTCAAAAGGCACGGTAAGTTAGTGTTAAAAAATATTATTTTTTGTTAACCTTTATACTATTCATCACTTTATGAAAATTACAGATATCTTAAAGTTTTTACAGACAATTACTTAGAAAAAATATATAAATTTAATTGTATAAATAAATTAAATATATTTGACAAGTATTTCATGTATATTTCGGTCCCAGGAAACAAAACGCTGCCCAAGAAGAAGGTATTTAATTATCTTTATTACCTAATCAAATGAAATTTGTTGTTTTATTGTAAATTTAATATTTTCATCTATTCTGTATGTGTTTTCACTTTTTCTTATCTTTTCAAACCTATCTATAGTATTGACCGGTCAATAGACTGCACGTTCTATTGACCGGAAAAAAAAAAACGATCCGGGTTTCAAATTTAGTTGTTTTAACACTGCACAGACATGGTAAACAATCATCTTATTCGATCTTTCGACATTAGTTTTAAAAATTGTGTGATTTCAATGCAAGGATATTTTATTTAATAAGAGTTACTTTAATAAATACAAAGTGGGACGTGGAGACCGGTCCTTCGGGTGAGATCTATTAACCGAGGTCCCGTGTCGCAGTAGGTGCACTGCTGGCACGAAAAAGGTCCCTCTCCACCGGCAAGTGGTGGCGTCTCCATATGCGTGAAAAATTTTCGAGAGGAATGTCGAATGAAAACAATAGTCTATACAATCAATCTTTAATTAATATTACAGATGCACCATATCTAGGTATAAATTTACAATATGGTACGGGAACCTTCTGTACTGAATATACAATTGAAACAAAACTAGGAATCGAAATGATAAATTCCATTCTGTCCTCCGGAAGCTTTGTGTGTAATAAATACTTCCTGTTTAGTTTACCCTTTCGATCCTCGGAGATCACGTGATAGTTTAGGGTATATAAGAAGCGATATCAGAGCTCTAAGTCAGTTCCAGACAGAAGTCGACACCAGTCAGTTGTTTCCAGTGAAGGTGAGAAACGTAAACTTGCTTAACAAGTCTTATGTGCCTGAATAAGGCTTTCGAGACTGTTGTATTTTTCTGCAAGTTGGTAAATATTTCTTGTTTGCTTAGTAGGAAGCGCAAGCGCTCCAGGACAGAATAGGACATTTTATAAATTGATAATTAAAGTCCTTGATTGAGAAGTTTTATAATTATTTGATTTATTCCTTAAATTGCTCAGGCAGAATAACCGAATCTTCGAACCCAGAAACGTTACATAAATTTGGTGGCAGCGCGTTGAGATTCGGTGAGGAATATTTTTTTATAATCAATTGTTAAATTACATTGAAATCATTATGGACAAGATGGTAGATGAGGAAATTTCATTCCTGGAAAAGAGCTGCGAACAACTGCGCAAAGAAATAGAGAGGTACTCAACACCTCTAGATAAACGTGTGCGAGCGCGCGATTCGGGGATTGCGACCATGGTAGGTGCAAGTGGAGGCCACGGTCATCCAAATTCATCTTCAACAGATGAAACGGTAATACAACAGAGTAATGAGCAGAGTGGATCCGCCACCGCGGAAAGTACAAACACCAATCATGTTACCATGAGGTCTGCGAAGGCGCAAAAGAAAAGGGACAGAGATGATACTGAACTTGCGGATGCGATGTTTAATTACTCTCTAGGTGATGATGAACATAGAGTAATGGAAGATGCACAGCAGACAGCGCATGCGCCGTCAGTAGTGATTGCGCCACGACCTAGCAGTGAAACGCCGCGCCTTTCATCAAAAGCACATCTTCATCCAGTTCATTTGCTGAATAACACTCTTGCGCATTCTCCTTTTGAATTTCCACGGGGTGTGCAATCGCGAGTACCACCGGAAGAACAAAATAAAATTAATCCTCCTGCGCAAATTAGAAATGATGAATTACCTCATGGGGGTCGGGCGCAAAGGAAAGCAAGCGTTCACTTCAGAGACAACCCTTTCTTGATACAACAGGAAAATATCAGAAAGGAAAAGGCTGCAAAATGTAACATCAAACCTGCAACTTTTGATGGTAGTCATTCCTGGCTGGACTATAAGTCCCATTTTGAAGCATGCGCTACCATTAACAACTGGTCAGAGAAAGAAAAAGGTCTTTACTTAGCTGTTTCGCTAAGAGGAACCGCGCAGGGTGTGCTTGGAAATGTTTCAAAAGAAACAGGACAGCAATATAATTTGTTGGTTAAGGCCCTTGAAGAACGCTTTGCGCCGCCAAATCAGACTGAACTTTACCATGCGCAGTTGAAGGAAAGAAAACAAAGAGCGTCTGAGACATTGTCTGAACTGGGACAGGCCATCCATAGATTAACTTGTTTAGCTTATCCGACAGCACCCTCAGAAGTAAGAGAAACACTAGGGAAGGACGCATTCATTGATGCATTAGTCAACTCAGATATGCGCTTACGCATCAAGCAGAGTAGACCTGGAAGTCTTAATGATGCTATTCGGCTTGCGGTAGAGTTAGATGCTTACTATAAAACGGAGAAGCGAGGAGATTTACGGTTGATTGAGGGTGTAGAACGCGACCATGTAAAACCTGCACCGCCATTAGAACTAGTAGACCTGATGACAAAGATGCAAACCCAGTTGGATAGATTGGAAAAACAGGTCCAAGATCAAAACTGGAGACCAAGGAAATACATATCGCAGTTGACAGACAAGAAAACAAATGATGGAGTGATTTGTTATTATTGCAAGGAAAGGGGACATATTCGTCGGAATTGTCCTAAACTTAAAAATAAAGACACAGATAAAAACACCAATACCCCATCAAAGAAATTAACTAGTGGGAATGCGCGGCGAATCCGTAGTAAGCGCCGGAGAAATCAACGTAGGATGCAAGGACACGTAGGTGGGAGCACCATGAGTACTGAGGCTGGAATTTTTATTGAGGCAGAGGTTAATGGTACGTCTGTAAAACTGTTAATCGATACGGGGGCTTCATTGACATTAGTCTCAAGAAGGGTGCATGATATGATAACGCAAGAAAAGCGACCTGAGTTAGAAAACAGTGCACAGAAAGTTTTAAACGCAAGTGGAAATGCACTTTCCCATTATGGAAAAGCAGATTTTCAGATCAGAGTAGGGCAATTTGAAACAATTATTCTAGCTATGGTAACAGATATCACAGTAGATGGTATCCTTGGCCTAGACGTTTTGAAGAAAGGTAGTGGTATTATATATCTCAACAATAACACGCTGAGACTAAACAATAAGGACTACCGCATTTCTTGTGAAGGAACCATAGGTTGTTACCGTGTCATTGCAGCTGATGACATTTGTATTCCCCCTAGGAGTGAAGTAGTTACTGTGGCTAAAATCCCAGGGCAGAATACATTTGGATGCTCAGAGTACATAGTCGAGCCAGAGGCAAAATTTCTGGAGAAGGGTCGTGCGCTGGTTGACCGAACATTTGTAAAAGGTAGCGAAACTGTGCCTGTGCGACTTATGAATATTACAGATGTAGCCCAACAGATATACAACTGTATAAAGGAACAATGATTGCGAAAATGACAGCTGTTGATGAAGAGAAAACACAAGGGACATCAAGAGAAACAAACGTAGGACTCCGATCTGATGTGCAAGAGTTACTTGACAGATGTAAGAAAACTCTTTCAAATGCACAAGCCTTGCAAGCTGAAAAATTCTTGCATAGATATCAGCATTTGTTTGCAACTTCAAATTTTGATCTGGGTCGAACTACAGTTGTTAAACACAGAATCCAAACTAACCCTACAGAGAAACCCATTAAGCAAGGAGCACGGAGAATCCCGTTACATATGTTACAAGAAGTTGATAAACAGGTGAATGAAATGATTGAAAAAGACGTTATAGAACCCTCAAATAGCCCTTGGGCTTCGCCTGTAGTTCTAGTGCGTAAAAAAGATGGTTCAATGCGCTTCTGTATTGATTATAGGCGACTAAATGCAATAACAGTAAAGGACGCATATCCCCTCCCAAATATAGAAGAAGCTTTTGATCACTTGTCCGGACATGCCTTATTCTCTACACTAGACCTCAATAGCGGATACTGGCAAGTTGCTATGGAGGATGAGGACAAGAGTAAAACAGCTTTTGTAACACGCAAAGGTCTTTTTCAGTTTAAGGTGATGCCTTTTGGTCTTACCTGTGCGCCCGCGACCTTTGAACGTTTGATGGAGACGGTTCTTGCAGGTCTCCAGTGGGATATATGCCTGGTATATCTCGATGATATAATAGTAATTGGAAAATCATTCGAAGATATGCTCAGCAATCTTGAAAAGGTTTTCGATAGACTGCAAGGGGCAGGTCTAAAGTTGAAAGCAAGAAAGTGTCACCTTTTTGCCACAAAAGTCTCATACTTAGGTCACATCATTTCGAAAGAAGGCATTGCGACAGACCCAGAAAAGATTTAAGCTGTTGCTGAATGGTCTGTACCTTCAAGCGTATCCGATGTTCGTTCCTACCTCGGGTTATGCAGTTATTATAGACGTTTTATTAAAGATTTTGCTATGGAAGCAAAACCTTTGCACCGTCTTACAGAGAAAGGGCGTAAGTTTCAATGGACAAAAGAGGCACAGGATGCATTTGAAACTCTTCGGAACAGATTGATCTCTGCGCCGATATTGGCACTACCAGACGTATCTTTATCTTTCATTCTGGACACAGACGCGAGCAATTACTCTATAGGTGCCGTGCTTTCCCAAGAAATATGTGGAAAAGAACGAGTGATAGCTTATGCTAGCCGCACATTAACAAAAGCAGAGAAACGATACTGTGTGACAAGGAAAGAGTTATTGGCTGTCGTACACTTTATAAAACACTTTCGCCATTATCTGTACGGAAGACAATTCCTACTAGAACAGACCACGGATCTCTTAGGTGGCTACTCAACTTCAAGAACCCAGAGGGCCAATTGGCAAGATGGCTTGAGCTTATTAGCACCTATGACATAAAAATAGAGCATCGCCCAGGACGAAAGCATGGGAATGCGGATGCTCTTTGTAGAATTCCGTGCACACAGTGTGGATTTGAACCTAACTGGGAAGAAGAAAAATCTAACCTGTCAGTGAGATCTGTGCAGTCATCCATGAAAGTAACAAACAAAGAATTTGATAAGGAAAATAAAAGTCTTGTAGAAGCACAAAAGTCCAACAAAGATATTCAACTAGTGCGCCAGTGGGTGGAAAAAGGCAAACGACCATTATTTGCTGATGTCTCACAGTATGGTTACGTGGTCAAATCACTATGAAATCAGTTTGAGAGGTTGAGCATTCGAGATGACTTCCTAGTGCGACAATGGATTTTACTCCCCTCAAATCGAGAAACATTTCAAGTTATAATACCAGATTCAGAGAGGAGAAATGTATTAAAGATGTGCCATGATAATAAAACATCAGGACATCTTGGTGTAACAAAGACGTTAGCCAGAATTAGACAGAGATATTACTGGCCGGGATTACAAAGGGATGTCAATCAGTATATAGCAGGATGCGATACTTGTACAAGAAGAAAGAATCCCATTCCTAGAAGACGGGCTCCAATGCAGATCGTTGCATCTGGCGTGCCTATGGAGAGAATAGCTTCAGACATTTTGTGTGAATTACCGGAAACCGACAGAGGGAATCGTCATATTCTCGTCGTGTCGGATTATTTCACAAAATGGACGGAAGCGTTTGCTCTTCCAAATATGGAAGCAGAAACTATCGCCCGAACGATTATGGAACAAGTAATAGTAAGATTTGGCGTTCCTTCCGTTCTCCATTCAGATCAAGGGCGTCAGTATGAAAGCAAAGTATTTTTGGAGATGTGTCGGTTGCTGGGAATCACTAAAACAAGGACTACTCCATATCATCCTAAATCGGATGGTATGGTTGAACGCTTCAACAGTACACTAATATCAATGCTGAGTGCTTCTGTCCAGGAAAATCAAAAAGATTGGGATTTACACCTGCCCTAAATCTTAATGGCTTATCGCTCCACAGTACAGAAAGTACGGGATTTTCTCCCAACATGTTAATGCTGGGAAGAGAGGCAACAACGCCTCTAGATTTGATGTATGAAATGCCGTCAGAGATGAAAGACATTCCAGCGCATCAGTGGGTATGGATATTGCGCGAACGCTTAGAGAAAGCACATGCGATTGTGAGAGAAAATATGCCTGGGGAGATGTTGCGACAAAAGAAGTATCATGATACCAAATTATCATGGTCATCGTTTAAGCCAGGGGATATGGCATATGTATACTTTCCAGTCAGAAAGAGTGGCTGCTCCCCGAAACTGACGTCGTTTTGGAGGGGACCATTCAAAGTCGAGAAGAAACTTTCTGATGTGTTGTATGAAGTTGCTTGTGATTCTAGAGGGAAAAGCACCGTCATACATTGTGATCGGATGAGAAAAAGTCATGCACAAGTACTACAAGGAGAAACCGAGGAAGACATATGTGATAGGAATGATACTCCAGCTGGAGATCATATGTCTCCCATAGATGTTCCTGTGGCTGAATTTGATGAACCTTGGGCTTTAAGTGAAGAAGCTGGTGCAAGCGAAAGCAGTAGACCGCGCCGTGCGAAAAACTTACCCAAATGGCTTCAGGACTACGAAGTGGATTACAGTGCTTAGAGCTATAAGATTAGCTATTGTAAATATGTAGATAACCTGTCTTGATAATATTGAAATATGAGTAATTGAAGTTTTTGTCTTATTTTAATAGATCATGGTTAACACAAAGATTACTCCCAGGAAGGAAGGTCATCGATGTCCGATGTGTAATCTGAGATTTCTAGACGAGGTTGAGTGGGAGAGACATGTGGTGGAAGGCGGTAGACGGCGTAGACAGAAGAAATTCGAATGCGCCGAATGTGATTATGCTACTAATAAGAAAAGTGACATGGGGAGACATCGCCGCACTCGACATAGTGAAGTAGTTTCCGCTGCAGCTGATAGCGGCACAGATGATTGGGAACAGTTGGACCCAGGAAACCTGTCTGATGTGGTCGGGAGCACATCACAGAGTCGTCCTGCTGAAGCCGTCTGTCAGAGGAAGCCTACCAGACCAGCTCCAGTCTCTGCGCCGATATCCAAGTCCATAGCAAGCCAGGACCCCTTGACGCCACGTGCCCCATCACCATTCCGACATCCAATGACAACTCCCAGAAAACGGTCCTCTGTTCATTTGGATGCACCTCCCGTACAGTTGCCATCTCTAACTCGGGAAGGCAGTACGCAGACAGACATGTATCATCAATTAGTTGATGCGAGTACCCTGACGGATAAAGACTGTGAAGAGAAAGGCACCCAAACAGAGAAAGACAAACGGCGAAGACTAGACAGGGTACAGGAGACATACCAAAGAGACGGGAAAACAGTCGTTGAAGTGCATGAGGAGGAAAGCTGGTTTTGAAAAGAATATTCTCAGTTGTTATTTTTCTGACATTGATATTGGATGACGATTTCATGTCATATTGGATATGTTTGCACATTTATGAATCATTGGTTGATTGTTTTCTTATTTTATCAATGACAGTGTTTGATGATATTTGTTTACTTTGTGTGTGCAACATTTGTTAAATCTTAGGAACAATGAAAGCCAGGTAGCTTAAAAATTTGTTGTTGTATTTTGTTTTATACCACACGTTATATCTTTAGCCCAGGTAGTTATTGATTTAATGCGGGACGCATTCCTGGAGGCGTGGGTAATGAAACAAAACTAGGAATCGAAATGATAAATTCCATTCTGTCCTCCGGAAGCTTTGTGTGTAATAAATACTTCCTGTTTAGTTTACCCTTTCGATCCTCGGAGATCACGTGATAGTTTAGGGTATATAAGAAGCGATAAGTCAGTTCCAGACTGAAGTCGACACCAGTCAGTTGTTTCCAGTGAAGGTGAGAAACGTAAACTTGCTTAACAAGTCTTATGTGCCTGAATAAGGCTTTCGAGACTGTTGTATTTTTCTGCAAGTTGGTAAATATTTCTTGTTTGCTTAGCTAGGAAGCGCACGCGCTCCAGGACAGAATAGGACATTGTATATATTGATAATTAAAGTCATTGATTGAGAAGTTTTATAATTATTTGATTTATTCCTTAAATTGCTCAGGCAGAGCAACCGAATCTTCGAACCCAGAAACGTTACACAATATTGTGAACACTTAATGCGGGAAAAAATTAGGTAATAAAACAATTATTTAATGCCTGAACAGTTAATAGACCAGAAAATTTTCCCCGAGGTGCAGGGAACAGCTCAGTGTGTTCTATTGCCCGAGGCCGCTGTATAGAAATATTTTAAATTGTATACTGCTGTAACAAAATAGCAATTTCCCTTTTTAATTATCATACTGCTTGTCACATTGTAGATATCTTCCTTATTGCGTCCATTACTCTGTAATCTTTGTAACATATTTTCGTCAGAACTCCATATATCTACTGATTCGACATTTGCATGTGGGAATATTTAAACTTCTTGATTTGATAATATTTGTAAAGTTGTCTTTTTAGCTCACCTGAGCCGAAGGCTCAAGTGAGCTTTTCTGATCAAAATTTGTCCGTCGTCTGTCGTTGTCGTTGTCGTCGTCGTTGTTGTCGTCGTCGTCGTAAACTTTTCACATTTTCATCTTCTTCTCAAGAACCACTGGGCCAAATTCAACCAAACTTGGCACAAAGTATCCTTGGGTGAAGGGGATTCAAGTTTGTTCAAATGAAGGGCCACGCCCTTTTCCAAGGGGAGATAATCATGAATTTGTTAAAAATTAATGGCATTTTTAAAAAATCTTCTTCTCCAGAACCGCTGGACCAGGAAATATGAAACTCATGTGGAAGCATCCTCAGGTAGTGTAAATTCAAATTTGTTCACATCATGACCCCCGGGGCAAGGGTGGGGCCAAAATGGCCGACCCAAGTTTAACATAGGAATATATAGGAAAAATCTTTAAAAATCTTCTTCTCCAGAACCACTGGGCCAGGAAAGATGAAACTCATGTGGAATCATCCTCAGGTAGTGTAGATTCAAGTTTGTTCAAATCATGACCCCTGGGGCAAGGGTGGGGCCAAAATGGCCGACCCAAGTTTAACATAGGAATATATAGGAAAAATCTTTAAAAAATCTCCTTCTCCAGAACCACTGGGCCAGGAAAGATGAAACGCATGTGGAATCATCCTCAGGTAGTGCAGATTCAAGTTTGTTCAAATCATGACCCCCGGGGCTAGGGTGGGGCCAAAATCGCCGACCCAAGTTTTACATAGGGATATATAGGGAAACCTTTAAAATCTTCTTTTCAAGTCTTCAAAGCTATGATTAGTGATATTTATATGGAATCATCCTCAGGTAGTGTAGATTCTAGTTTGTTCAAATGATGATTGCCTGGAGGGGGGGAGTAAATTCAAGCCCGATGTGCTCAGGTGAGCGCTGTGGCCCCTGTGCCTCTTGTTTTAGTGAACCAGTTTTAAAAGATTAGGAGAATATACCACTACTTATTTACATGTACGCATGAAATAAAACTCTGAATTTTATATATACATTATATTTTAACTATGAATATCAAAAATCATAAACTCCTAACAACAGTTTTGAATTTGAAGTCAAAGGACTGATTAAAAAAAAAGATTTTTTTTAAAAAATCATTCTGCCATTGGATCTTAAACATTTACTCTCATTCAATTTAATTAAAGAAGTAAATAAACAATAACATAAGAGATAAATATTTTTTTTTTATTTCTTTGTAAGGACGCATATTTTATTTCATTAAATACAACATAAATTATTGAGAAGCCTTAATTTTTTCATGGTCTTTCTTTGATATATGAACACTTTTTAATTATTTTTTAAATTTATTATTAATTGGAAAACATCATTCTACAGATTGCGGGATGGGTATGATTGAGAATACCTTATATATCAGTGGCGACGACGTAAATAATTCTACAATATTGTCCTCAAAATATCCACAGAATGATGCCGTAAACACGGAAAGCAGGAATGACGTTTACTCAGTTGTTAAAAAAACTGAGAAGATTGAACCTGACTTCCCCATGTATGCTGAAGTCTGTAAATCCCGACCAGTAAAGGGTGAGCACTAATAAGACGTTAACCAGAAAGATGATGATAACATTAGACGTTGGTGCCAATTTAGGCAAAGAAAAGTTCTTTATAGGAAACCCCCATTTCCTTATTAAGTATAATATTACATGTACCTGCATGCTTTATACCGAGCATGTTTTTAATTATCTTCTAAAATATGTATTTGAAATATAACTTCATACCTACATATATACTTCATACCTACATATATATGATATAAATTTTCATTCATATATATATGAATGTGATGTACTTTTTTCATTATCTTTACAGATAATCCAGCAATAAAGAAAAAACCAGCAAAGAAGACTAAAAATAGTACGGGCAAAGTAAGTAAGCTTTGAATCTATCGACTATTGTATACAGGGTTATTTTCCCCCCGTGTTATTTTCGTCCTTTTACACTTGCTAACAATTTTACCCCGTTTTAAACTCGCCCAGTCACTACTTTGTTTAAGAAATTATACTGTGTTCTTTGAATTCGCCCCGTTTTAAATTCGCCAACTTGTGACAAGGGCGAAAGGGGCGAAAATAAAACGGGGACAAAAATTTCCCTGTATACAGTATTTAAATAAAAGGCGTTAAATGCAGTTTGACTATGGTCATAGACCATAAAATGGTTTAAACTTTATGTTTATGCCTTGGTTAGCTTCATAAGAGGGAGATTTCAAAATAAGATCTAAAAATCTCTGCGCAATTCAAATTTTTCAAAACGGAGTACTCGTTGCCATACATTTACGCATTTTGGAATCCTTATTTACATATATTGCAGACCGTCAACAAAGATGGACTGGTTTACGTGGAAATTGATTTGAAAAAAACGCCGGTTTTAAGCGGGAATTCCGTCATTCATGGATCGGACAACAAGACGCTGTATGTTGACATTGATTTTACCCAGCATGCCGACCCACTTCCGGAGTGTGACGTAGAGGACAATGATGACGCCAATCTAAACGAAAAGAAACAACAGGAATAAATTTGCACCAGATAAACGTCAACTTAAACACTGAAAGTTTACAGCCGTTAAAAAATCATTTTCGTCGTTTGCTGTAAAACTTCACCAAAATATTGACGTCAAGTAAAATCGCCCTAAAAATATATGTAAAAGGAGTCACTTTGATAATGTTAAGTAATTTTAGCTTACTTCAACGGATTTGAGAGTTTCTGAAATCTCGTCGATGTTCCATGTAAACGATTTTTTCAAGCATTTTATGATCTATATTGATGAGATATGCATAGTTGATGTTTGGTAAATTTAAGTAGATGCTGTACTTATGTAAATGAGACCAAATTTAATAATATATAGAAGCAGGTTAATATTTTTGAAGCAGGTCTCAAGTCCAAAAAATTATAAGATTTAAAGTGAAAATACACAAAATATTGATCTTGTTAAGAACTGTAAGATAAAAGACCCATATTGGAGGACGACCTTGCTTTCAGTAGTAACAGTGTGATTAATGATGCACTTTTCAATTTTTTCCTTGCTATGTTTGTATTTTTTCTGTATTTTTAGGTCACCTGAGAAAACTCAGGTGACCTATTGCTATCTGTTTTCGTCCGTCGTCGTTCGTCGTCCGTCGTTCGTCGTGCGTTAACATTTGAACACTTTTAACTTCTTCCCTGAAACCACTGAACCAATTTCAACCAAATTTGGCATATAGCATCTATGGGTAAAGGGGAACAAAAATTGTGAATTTCATGGCCCCTGCCCCCCTGGGGCCTGGGGGTGGGGCAAAAACCACTAAAATTAGTGCAATCTTTAAAAATCTTCTTCTTTAATCCTGGACATCAAGCAGTCAAACTGTTTGTATGATTGTAATCAGCACTGAGTCCTCTACCAAAATTGTGAAATTCATGGCCCCAGGGTCAGGGGTTCTAGTACTAGGGCGGGGATAAAAAGGTTATATAGTGAAAATGCATTATTTCTTTAGAATTCTTCTTTTCTGCTCCTGGACATTAAATAAACTAACCAAGTGCATAGGTAAGTTGAAAATGACCGCCTTTTCCAAAATTTTGAAATTTATGGCCCCAGGGTCAGGGGTTCTAGTGCTAGGGCGGGGCTATATATATTATTAAGTAAAAATGAATTATTTCTTTGTAAATCTTCTTCTTTGCTGAGTATTAAATAAACTAACCAAGTACATAGTTATGTTGAATAAGGCTACCTCTTCCAAAATTGTGAATTTCATGGCCCCTGGGTTGGGGGTTCTGGTGTTAGGGCGGGGCTTTATTGATTATACAGTGAAAATGCAAAAATTCCTTAAAACTCTTCTTTTCTACACCTGAGTATTTAACCAATGAACTTTGCACATAGTTATGAGGAGGAAGGATGCCTCTTTGAGATTTTTGAATTTCAGGGTCCCTGGGTTAGGGCTTCTTGTGTTGGGGCGAGGCTCTAATGTTTATATAGTGAAAATGCATGAATCCTTTGAAAATCCTTCCTTTGTTGTTGGGTATAATGCCAAATGATCTTAGTATATATTTATGACAAAAAACCTGCTTCTTCCAAAAATCAAAAATGGTTAATTTCCTGGTCCCTGGGACAGAGGTACTTTGAGGGGGGGGGGGGGGGGGGGGGGTACATAGTCTGAAATAATTTAATGCTTTGAAATCTGCACTTTGGTATTAATCAACAGCATTGTGAAATTAAATTTTAAAAAATTTCTAAAATTTTGAAAGATATGGCCCCGGGGTCAGTGGTTCCTGTGGGATGGGGAGCTAAACTGTTGACCAACCCTAACATAAGTAGCTCTGACCAAGGGGCCCTGAAATTCACTAAAAGTGGAAATGCATTTTCTCTGTGTTACTCTGATCTACCTCTAGGTATTAAGTAACCAAAATAAGCATGCTGATTGCATAATTATGATAAGCAATGGTGCCTCTTTCAAAATTGTGAATTTCATGGCCTCTAGTTTAAAACATGAATCACATTCAATTGTTGGAAAGTTGTCGCATAATACTCAGGTGACCTATAAGGCCCGTGGGCCTCTTGTTTGAGTTTTACATGTATGTTCTATAAATAAATATTGTATCTTTCACTGCTGTGTTGTATATATATATATATATATATATATATATATATATATATATATATATATATATATATATATATATATATATATATATATAAGATTTATACAGATGTTGGTGGCAATATAGATAATTTATTTTGTATTTGTACACTATGAAGAAACTAATATAAACATATTATTTGATGGAGGAGAAAAATATAGTGATAAAATTCGCAGGGATGATACATTTAGATCTTATGATGCACAAACCCTGACTTTGGTTCAGATGCTGGATTGGACCTAAATTTTCAGGATGATCTTTAAATCTTGTAAGCCGTAACCCATTTGAGAACATATAATATTTGAACCAAACTTGTTTTGTTTTTGCAATAAAGTATGCACATCACCAGAGTTGGCAGGGATGTTGAATTTGATCTTCATTTTCCTATAGGATAAGTGGTCAGGTTAAAGTTTTTGCAGTATGCTCAATCCAGCGTAATTCATGCGACTATCTGAACCAGACGCTTATGGAATTTACATCTAGTGATGTACACTATTAGACATGCTACATGTTCTGGATTTCGCCTACATTTTTTGGATGAATAACTTTGTTCAAGTTTTGAACAGGTACATGTACATTTCAGTGTAAATTTAAGCCCAATCTTCACCTAATAAGTTCTGATAGATGATGCAGCTAGGGATACTACACGCTTGCTTTAGATTCTGACCGCTATTATTTTAGGTCACCTGAGTAAACTCAGGTGACATATTGCTATCTGTTTTCGTTCATCGTCGTCCGTCTTGCGTCGTTCGTCGTGCGTTAACATTTGAACATTTTTAGCATCTTCTCTGCAACCACTGAACCAATTTCAACCAAATTTGGCATATAGCATCTATGGGTGAAGGGGAACAAAAATTGTGAATTTCATGGTCCCTGCCCCCCTGGGGCCTGGGGGTGGAGCCAAAACCACTAAAATTAGTGCAATCTTTAAAAATCTTCTTCTTTACTCCTGGACATGAAGCAGTCAAACTGTTGGTTTGATTGTAATTAACATTGAGTCCTCTACCAAAATTGTGAAATTCATGGCCCAGGGTCAGGAGTTCTAGAGCTAGGGTGGGGCTAAACAGGTTATATAGTGAAAATGCATTATTTCTTTGAAATTCTTCTTTTCTGTTCCTGGGCATTAAATAAACTAACCAAGTGCATAGGTAAGTTGAAAATGATTGCCTTTTCCAAAATTGTGAATTTATGGCCCCAGGGTCAGGGGTTCTAGTGCTAAAGCGTGGCTATATAGATTATAAGTAAAAATGCATACATTCTTTGAAATTCTTCTTTTCTGTTTGTGGGCATTAAATAAACTAACCAAGTGCATAGTTATGTTGAATAAGGCTGCTTCTTCCAAAATTGTGAATTTCATGGCCCCAGAGACAGGGGATCTAGTGCTAGGGCGGGGCTATATAGATTATATAGTAAAAAATTAATTACGTTTTTCTTTGAAAATCTTCTTCTTTGCTCCTGAGTATTAACTAAACTAACCAAGTACATAGTTATGTTAAATAAGGCTACCTCTTCCAAAATTGTGAATGATCATGGCCCCTGGGTTGGAGTTTCTGGTGTTAGGGCGGGGCTTTTATTGATTATGTAGTGAAAATGCCTAAATTCTTTAAAACTCTTCTTTTCTGCACCTGGGTGTTTAACCAATGAACTATGTACATAGTTATGAGGAGGAAGGATGTTTCTTCGAGATTTTTATATTTTAGGGTCATTGGGTTGGGGCTTCTTGTGATAGGTCCGGGCTCTTATGTTTATATAGTGAAAATGCATGAAATTCTTTGAAAATCTTTTCCTTTGTTGTTGGCTATAATGCCAATGATCTTAGTATATATATAACAAAAAACATGCTTCTTTCAAAAATAGTTAATTACCTGGCCCCTGGGACAGAGGTACTTTGGGAGGGGGGGGGTAACATAGTCTGAAATAATTCAATCTGCACTTTGATATTAATCAACAGGATGATTAAAATATAATTTTTAAAACATCCAACATTTTGAAAGATGTGGCCCCAGGGTCAGTGGTTCTTGTGAGATGGGGAGCTCAACTGTGGACCCGCCCTAACACAAGAAGCCCTGACCCAGGGGCCCTGAAATTCACTAAAAGTGGAAATGAATTTTCTCTTTGTTACTCTGATCTACTTCTGGGTATTAACCAAAATAAGCATGCTGAGTATATAAATTATGATAAGCAATGGTGCCTCTTTCAGAATTGTGAATTTCATGGCCTCTGGTTTAAAACATGATTCAAATTCAATTGTTGGAAAGTTGTCGCATGATACTCAGGTGACCTATAAGGCCCATTGTCCTCTTGTTTTTTTTGACTGAGTTATTGCCAGGCATTTAATCTTATATAATCCTTTAAAAAAATAAGTTTGCCTAAATATTTAGTGTTTCCAATTTTTAAAAACAATTAGAAACAGGTTTAGAATTCAAAAAGTAATGAAAATTTTGTATATTTTTCATACATTATGAAGATATACAAAACAGAAATTTGGGGAACATATCGTCTGACTTTAATCATGGAAATGTCATGCTAATCAGAATCTTCAAAATTACAAAATCATGGAAATGGACCAATTAATTACTGATTTTGTTCACTATACAATATTCGTCGGTCGTTTAAACATTCCAGCCACAGTTCTTCGATAATAATTACAAAGTCTGCATCATAACATTATAAGATTTCCCATACGAATTCATCGCAATAATTCAACTTGTGGTTGGGCCAAATGTCAAATCCTTGGAAACTATTGAAGGAAATTCGCGTGACATGAAGTCCTAGGGTTTTCGAGTTTTTCATTTCCAACCTTTGAAATTTTCACATTCTTGGATTTCCAAATGTTTCAAACCTCGAGTGAAGGGGTATTTGTTTCGTGGAACATGTGGTTTTAAAATGCAGAAACAAGTTTTAAAATGATACTTACTTAAAGGTCAGTCTCAGGAAAAATATTGATAAATAATAGGGATGTCAATTTTACTCGGACAGCGTAGTCGAATAGTCGAACGATAGTTGAACATTCGTTTTTAACTATTTTTAGCTCACCTGAGCCGAAGGCTCAAGTGAGCTTTTCTGATCACATTTTGTCCGTCATCCGTCCGTCCGTCTGTCTGTCTAGCTGTCTGTCCG